CAACCTTCCATAACTCAATGTAAAAAACAAAAACAAAACTCCTCACAACTGGAGGGGAAAAAGTCTCTTCAATAAATGGTATTGGAAAAATTGGATTTCTACATGAAAAATAATGAAACAGGATCTGTATCTCACATCATACACAAAAACAAATAAAAATTGGATTAAGGACCTAAATATGAAAACAAAAACCATGAAATTCTAGAAGACAATGTAGAAGCAAGGTTGTGGAACCAAGCTGTTATCAGAGCAAATAAAAGCACAAGAGAAGGATGTGGCAGTCTGCTTCCGTAAATATTCACAGCCTTGGAAACCCTCTGGAGTCGTTCTTTTCTGTTCTATAGGGTAGCTCTGAGTAGGAATTGACTCAACAATGTTGTAAGTTTTAGTATGATAATCCAATATTTAACTTTTAGAGAAACCAACACATTTTCTTTTCAGCAGATGCTCTACTTAGTATTTCCACAAACAAAGGACGAGGGTTCAACATTCCAAAATGCCAACATTCCAAAAATAACACTTGTTATTTTTCATTTTTCCAATAATAACCATACTGCTCTTGGGTTGTTAGGTTCCACTGCGTCAGTTCTAACTTACTGTGACCCTACGTATAACAGAAGGAAACACTCTTCAGTGTTGTGTCATCCTCACAATTGTTGTTATATTTGAACCCATTGTTTCAATCCATCTCATTGAGGGTCTTCATTTTTTCACTGACCTTCCACTTTACCGAGCACAATATCCTTTTCTAGGCACTGGCACCTGTTGACAACATGTCCAAAGTAGGTGAAACAATCTCACCATTCTTGCTTGTAAGGAGCATTCTGGTTGAACGTCCCCCAAATGCTTTTAATATTCTCCATATGGTAACAGGCAATACCATAATTCAACTGCATCATTTCGATTTTATTCATTTTCTTCCTTATTCATTGTCCGGTTTCACGTGTACAAGAGGTAACTGATTTGAGGCAGGTGCTCTTTAGTCCTCACACTGACATCTTTGCTCTTTAATACTAAAGAGATCTTTTACCGCAGATTTGCACAATTTATTAGGTCATTTGATTTATTGACTGCAACTATGATGAGCAAGGAGCTTTGGTAGCATAGTGGTGACAAATCAGGCCGCTAACCTCAGGGTCAGCAGTTCAAAACTACCAGCTGTTCCACAGGAGAAAAATGAGGCTTTCTTATCCTGTAAAGATTTACCGTCTCGGAAACCCTGTACAGGGTTGCTATGAGTCGGAACTGACTTCATGGCACATAACAACAACAACCACTTTCATGAGCATTGGTTGTAGATTCAAGTAAGAAATATGTCTTAAAAACTTAGGAGAGGTCAACTTCCATTTTTTCTCCCTTTATCATATCTTGCACTTCCTCATTTGTTTCAGTTTCTATTCGCTTTGGTTTCTCTATGCTGAAGAGCACGTTTCAGTCTCTTCTGACATCTTTTTGGTATTTTCTTTCCCATATTCTTAAAGACCTTTTGCTTTCTTTCTGTATGATGTTGTTAATGCCATCCTGTAATTCTCCTGGTCTTTGGTCATTAGTGTCTAATGTGCCAAATCTGTGCTTGAGATGGTCTTTAAATTCAGGTGGGATATATTCAAGGTCATATTTTGGCTCTTCATAGGTTTGTTTTAATTTTCTTCAGATTGTACCTGAACTTGCAAATGAGCAATTGATGGTCTGTTCCAACGTCTGCCCTTGACCTTGTTTTTTCTGGTGATATTAAACTTTTTCACGTTGTCCTTCCCACAGATGTCGTCAATTTGATAACTGTATTTTATCTGGTAAGGTCCATGTGTGCAGTCTCCTTTTACGTTGTTTAAAAAAAGCTATTTGCAATGTCATTGCAAAACTCTATCACGTGCTCTCCATCATAATTTCTGTCACCAAAAGCCGTATTTTCAAATTACTGATCCTTCTTTGCATCTATCCTTTGCATCCAGTGACCAGTAATTACTAACACATCTTGATTGCATGTTTGATCAGTTTCATAATGAAGAAATTGGTATAATTCTTCAATTCCATCATCACTGGCTTTAATGGCAGTTACATAAAATTGGAAAATAGTGATAATAACTAGTCTTCCTATCACAGACAGCATTATACTTCAAGATTGATCTTGAAATGTTCTTTTTGATAATGAATGTGACTCCATCCCTCTTCAATTTATTTTTGAAGAGGAATAGCAAATTTACCGAATAAACGGTTTCATTCTTTTCTACCTTGTAGAAAGGCTTTTCTGTATAGTAAGAGAATTTTTCATTATTTGTCCAACATTTCCCACCCAGAAAACCGGTGTGTGTATATATACATGTGTTAATATATTTATATTTCCATATACGGATTCTGCACATGTAAAACTTGATTTTATTATGAAAATTTCGTTTTGTAACTATTTTGAATAGATACTAATTTCTTTTGTTGGCAAGAGTGTTAAATTAGGTCATAGTTCTTGACTATTGACTATTTTTTGTTAAATGATAGTCACAGCATTTTATACCATGATAAAGTTTGTGTAAAAACTTCCGGCGTGTACCTTTAACATCAAACTTTTTTTTTTCCTTTAACTTCTGAAAAAGGACCAGGTTTCCAGGACCTTCCCCTCCCCTCACTGCCCCCCCTCCCTGCCCCAGCAGTAATCCAAGCCATTAAAAAACCTCAGCCACCCTCTCCCAACCCCAACGCGATTATCCTTATCCAAACACACAGCTCTGTCTATGCAAAGCATAATTCCGCAGTGGTCAGTGGAGCATTCTGCGCCTGTGCAGACCCAACTCCTTCCTGGCGTCGCCATTTTTCTCCCTCGCCCCAGGAGGACCCTGGAAGTTCCTGGTTTCTGCGATGCTTCAGAGGGCGGGGCCAGGACTCGGATCGGGCTAGCTGCCGAGGCGGAGCCCCAGGCCCGGCTCCTGCAGGTGTGTCGAAGGTCGCGCTCCGGCTGCCCTTGTGGCCTGGGGCAGGGAGAATTGGGGGTCTTTGCAACTGGGCGGAGTCAGAAACTCTAGAAATCCCCGCCTTCTCTCCCGGCGCGCGTGGAGGGACCACAGAAGAGAGCCAGGGAGGGCGCGCGAAGGTGTCGGGGCTGGGAGGCCGACTGTTTGGTGTATTTCCTCTGAAGTTGTGTTTTTAACCAGCTTGAGAGGAGGCCCGAGGGAGGTTGGACGCAGACGGTGGGGAGTAGAGCGGGCACGGGCTCGCACAGGGAGAGGACCCTTGTGATGAATCCGTAATTCGCCACGTAAGGGCGGATGTGTCTGCCGTGCAGGCTGGTTGGGACAGGGCCTTTTGAAGGCTGTGACCTGGGCTCAGATCCAGGGGCTGCCAGGAAATAGGATATTCTCAGCGCGACTCAGTTGTAAGATGAGGCTATTAATAACCTAGGTATGATTAGTAGTATGCCATTTTCTATTTGAAATAGGACAGTGGATGACAAGGACTAAATAAAGGAAAGCTGCTTTTATTGTTACAAGGCATGCTATTCTTTTAATTTTTTAATTATTTCATCATCAAACCTGATCGGTAGTACCATTGCCATTTTTAAAAGTAAGAATTAAAGGTTCAGAGAGAAATTGGTTTTACACAGTATGCTGGTTGGGACCCCTGGCGCGCGGTTTAGTGCCCAAACGCTGGGCTGCTGACCGGTTGACTATTTGAACCTATCAGCACCTAGGGATGGAGTGGGTGGAGAAAGACCCCCATAAAGATTAGCCAAAAAAAATTTTTTTTAAATGTATATATACAAAACTCACTTGCTGTTGGTGAATTCCAGCTCATAGCAATCCTGTAAAACAGTAGAACTGTCCCCAAACTGTAATGTAGGGGTTTCCAACCTCTTGCTTAGTAGCTGAGTGCTTTAACCACTGTGACACCAAGACTCGTTTCCAAACATTCACTGATGTCAAGTGGATTCTGACATCAGTGACCTATAGGGTCTCTCGATAGCACAGTGTGGCAGTTCTACTGTATCCTGTAGGGGTCACTATTAGTCAAAACTGACCCAACGGAGTAGGTGAATGAGTTGGGATTTAAATTCTCATTTGTTTTAGTCTATAGTTCATATTCCCACCCACACGGAAATCCAGTCTTATCTTGTATTTAGCACAAAAATTTGTGCAAAAACGTGTCCCTTAGCACCACTGAATACAATTGAATGTAATGGACCTAATATTAGCATGTAGCCATTCTTTTTCCAAATAGTCTTGGAGAATCCTTAGAATCCTGAACTCAGAAGGTTAAGTATGGTCTTCCTACATTTTCCAACCTGTCTATCTCCTCAGTGGACTGGCAAAGAGAACATGTAAATTGAAACGTAAAGTTGATAATGCAGTTTTACGTTTTGCTGGAAAAACTGGGAATCCAATCCAGGCCAGACAATAGTCTCTAGAGAGGGTAAAGGAAAAATCTTTAAAATGTTGAAGGCTGCAATTCATCTGATACTTAATATATTATGAAAGTGATATGATACCTGTTTGGTTGATATCTGTGCTCATTGATTAGGCATTTGGCAAGTGTGTGACGCCGTAGGCGCCGTAGGATAAGCACTTGACCTCAAGGTCGGTTTAAACTGCAAGGTTGTGGTTCAAACTCACTAGCCCCTCCTTGGAAGCCTTATACAAGGTCTCAAAGAGTCGTAACCAACCAACTTGACGGCACTTACTGGTAACAACATACTAGCTAGAAGGGGTTTCTGCTGCCTATGAAAAGAAGCTCAGGATTATGGTATCTAGTTGTCTTTGCTACGTCTGTATGTGTCAAGTGTCTGATTTGGGTCTATGGTGCCCATTTGTTATTTTACTAGAAATGTCAACAGACTAGATGAACCTTTCAGAGTTTATCAAGGCCCAATTAAATTTTACATTAAGCCTGTCCCAAAGAGGGCACTGTCTGGGATTTGTGACTAGGTGAATGCTTTTAGAATCAAAATGGTACTTGAATGGTTGTTCGATATTATCTAATTCTGCCTCATTTTGAGAGCTTCCAGAATATTTGTAATCTTTTGAGTTTATAACATTAATAGGAAAAATTGTTATGAGTAACTTAAATACTTTTCCACATCAATGCATACTCCTCTTCAACATTGTAATACTGGCATAGGAGTCCATCCTTTGGATATTATACATTTTGTTTAATCTGATGGTATTGGATTTTTAATTTTTGTCTGTTTTATTTTATTCAGTAAGTGGACACATATTTTTCAAAAACAACCAGTAGGAAATAGATGTTTCCTTATTCGATAAGAATGCCTTAAGGGCATTAAAATTATACTATGTCGTTATTGTTAAGTGCCATCGAGTCAATTCCTACCCATAGCGACCCTGAACAAGGTTTCTGAGGCTGTAAATCTTTACGGGAGCAGAAAGCTTCATCTTTCTCCTGCAGAGCAGCTGGTAGTTTTGAACTGTTGACCTTGCGGTTTGCAGCCCGATTCGTAACCACTATGCTACCAGAGTTCCTTTAAGATTATACTATAATCACCAGTGGTCCTTCTGTTCTGAAATTTTTTTTTTTTCATTTGATGCATCAGAAGGACATTTTCCCAACAGATCTCTACTAAAATGTATGAAAATTTCTCACAGGTGATTCCTATAACTGCGAGATAAGGTCTCTTCTGACGTGTGTCTTACGACTTTCCCTGCTCTGGCTTCATAGTTTGTTACCTTTTCCAAGAGTAGCAAAAAAATGAAGAAATTCCAGGTAAGTTGTTTATATAGCTCTTACTTTGTTTTATTGTGTGTGTATGCTTTTAATGAGTTTTATGAAGGATAGTACCTATATTAAACCAAAACCAGGAAACCAATCCACTTTCACAAAGCCGATTTCTGATTAATAGTAACCCTCTATAGGGTTTCCGAGACTAAATCATGATGGGAGCTGACTGCCTCATCTTTTACCCACAGAGTGGTTCCCAGGTTGGCACTGCCAGCTTTGCAGTTAGTAGCCCCACAAGGACTCTTTATATTCAACTAGAAAAATGGAAATAGTTAAAGAAAAATCACTGTCAGGGAAAATACTGCAAAGATCCACAGTGGTTCTCAAAATTAAAATCTGTAAATTGATGGAAATCTTGAAACCATTTCATTAGGTCTGTGAGATCAAAATGATTTTTGTAATATTAAATTGACATTAAGGAGCTCTGTTTGCACAACCGTTAAAACGCTCAGCTGCTAACCAAAGGTTGGTGATTCAGACCCATCCAGAAGGTCTGTGGGTAAAACCCTGGCAATCTGCTTTGCAAAAATTATAGCCTAGAAAACAGTACTATGTGACTAGGGTTGCTATGAATCGAAATCGACTCGGCAGCATATAGCAACATGATGGTAATTACCTTTTACACTGTTAACATTTGCACTGATGGTACAAAGCAGCGGTGACTAGATTGTTACCTGTTCTTCTGAATCCAGACAGTGACACCAAACTCTCCTTACAATGTATTTGTCTACAATGTATACTCACTAAAAAATGGTAAGTTTCATTTACAGCTAAGCTTGATGAGCAATAAAGATTATTAACTTTATCAAACTTCCCTTTAATGCATATCTCTTAAATACTTGGTTTTGATGAAATAGTACATTCACATAAAGCACTTCAGCTGTATTCTCGAGTATGATAAAGATTGTCTTGAAGAAAAGCACTTGTGTGATTGATTTGGAATCCATTTTTTATGTTTGAAAGAATAACTGGCAAACAAATTATGGTTCTATAAATGTGGTTATTTGATAAGCATTTCTTTACAAAATTAAGTAATCTGTTGTTTCTAGGAAAGCAACTGTCAGTATTTGTTACCAGTGTTAAAATTTGAGCTTTCAAGTGTTAGAATTTTGAAATTCTTATATTCTCTATTGTGTCTTTGACAACTTCCTCATAGTGAAAGACTTAGCTGCTGAGATTAGTGATAATATTAGCCAGTGTATTTTATATTAGCTAATAAAGTATCTATGTTATATTGCTAATATAATTTCTCAGAGGTAAACTCAAGTAGTTTAAGAGTACAAAGTGATACTGATTAGTGGGAAATAGGGAATCAGTTGGTGAGGGACTGTTACTCTTAAACGTAAACAGTCCCTGACTAAAGAAGAGTTACAGAAACTCGCATTTATCATTTTGCATCTTATCATCAGTTCTATGTACTACATACAGTGTTGTAGTATGTTATTTGCTAGTGTCATAATATATGTAATGTTTCCAAACCCCTCCCCCCAATCAAATAAGAATAGAATTTATAAAGATACTGAAAGGCAATAATGGAAGCAAAACAAAGTAAAAGAGGTATTCAACCTAGGTCAAAACCTGTTTACCATGGAGTCTTCCTTAGTAAATGTGGAGCTACCTTTATTTGAGAAAAGACCCAGGTTAAGTGAAAGCCAAGTGGAAATCTGGAGAAAGAACACGCTATCTAGCAGGAACAGCAAGTTCCTGAGGCATACTCCAGAAATGTTTTGGTTAAATGTTGTTGAGGTGGTTCTGATTCATAGTGATCCTGTATAGGGTTTTGTAGGAGCAGCTGGTGGGTTTGAATTGCTGACCTTGTGGTTTGCAGTCCAGTGCTGATCCTACAGTGCCACACCAGGAATCTAGACATTAAGACACAAAACAGCATCACCAGACATCAACCCAGAAAAAAAACAACTCTTGTAGTTTGGACGTAGAGATCAGTTCCTGGAGAGAAGGACGTTATGTTTGGGAAAGTGGCGGGTAAGAGAAAAAGAGGATAACTCCCAACAAGTTGGATTGACATGATGCCAGCAACAGTAGACTCAAACAATTGTGAGGATGGCTCACGACCGGGCAGTGTTTCATTCTTTGTGTCTGAAATGACTTGATGGCATCTACAACAATAACAACATACTTCTGTTTTGATCGTGAAAATGCTTCTAGCCTTCATGTGAATTTCTAATAAAATATTCATTCTGGGAAT